ACATTTTTCAGACATCCTATGGGATGTCTCTGCTGCATTCCACTGTAATGGTTCACTCTTAGAAACCAGATATCCCAATTCCACTGGTTCTTTCTTCCTCTTCTTCTTCCTCTCCTCCTTCTTCTTCCTCTTCTTCTTCCCCTTCTCCTTCTTCCTCTTCTTCTTTTTTGACAGGGAATTGTGAATCACTTTGGAAATCTAATGAAAGCTATCCATATATATATGTATATCCATATATATATGTGTGTGTATATATATATGAACTTTGCCTATAATTTCAGAGAGTTAATTAATCCTTTCAAGCCCATTAATAGGCCCCAAATGAGTCCATGGATCCCAGATTAAGAACACCCTTTCTTTTCAATTAGCTGGTCTCTTCTTCCTTCCTGAGTTCCTTACTCCTTTGATTGCTCCCTCCCTGGTTATCTGTCTTTGCCTATTGTTCTTCTTGTGCTGCATACTTTCTCAGTGTCTACATCTACTTTCTCGGTTTTGTTATTGGGGCCATGACAACTATTTTAGTACAGAAGCCATTTGGAGTTGTGGGGTAACTTGAAAGAAGATCAAGTTCAGGGAAGTCCACTCAATTTCGGGAGACTTATCTGATTTCATTAGTATCTAATTAGACACCATGAAAGTTGAGGCTATGAATAATTGTTCATAAGCACATTCTGAGAAAGATTTATGTAAGAAAACAAAATCAGGGGTGCCTGGCTGGCTCAGTCATTAGAGTATGTGACCCTTGGTCTCGGGGTCATGAGTTTCAGCCCCATGTTGGGTGTAGAGATTACTTAAAAATAAAATCTTAAAAAAATATATAATAGAAAACAAAAATCAAAGGCGAATTCTCTCATTGTAACATTTTACAATCTTCTTCAAGTTTGGTCCTCCTCCTACCCCCATTGCAAGGAAGTGTCAGCCTTCCAGGGAGATGTTCCACAGTGGCATTCCTGTGGCCTTCTTCTTATGAACTTTTGGCACTTTCTGACATGGCAACTTATCCCATTATTATACTGATTGTGAAAATTGATTGTGTCAACTTAGGCTAGGTCATGACACCCAGATATTTGGTCAAACTCTAGTCTAAATGTGGCTGTGAAGGAGTGTTTTAGATGAGATTAACAGTTACATCAGTAGACTTCAGGTAAAGCAGATTGCCCTCCTTAGTATGGGTGGTCCTCTTTCAATCAGTTGAAGGTCTCTCAGAGAAAGAGAGAATTCTGCCCCCCCCAACCCCCAAAGCATAGGACCATGAAACATGGAGAAAATATCAGAGTTCTTTGCACAAGGAAAAAGCAAGTAATGATTGCTGGGTAGATTAAAAAACATCTGTCATAGATTCAATTCAATATCATCTCAAATCTCTCCAATGATATTTTTTGATTATGGTTTGTCTTATTTTAAGGTTTTCTCTGTTCCCTTAATTATTCCTGTTCCTTTAAATTAAATTTTTCTATATTTTTCTTGTTTTGTTGTTGCTTTTGTTTTACCTTGGTCTTTCTCTGTTAAACTGCAGGTGCTCTGTAAATGTGGGAGTTCCTGGTGGTCCATTTATATCACAAAATGAGGCAGTAGAAATTCTAAATGGGAGCTAGCAGGAGCTTGACTTCTGTGGGCGAGGCTGCTTGATGGTAAGTCTCATTGTCATGTGAGAGGGAAGGGAACGGCCATGCTCCAGGAAGGCTCCCATATGCCAAATAGAAGAGTGTTGCTCTTTGACACCAACATCTTTGCCAGTTACCCAAATTCTCCCCAGAAACTCACCTCTAGCTCTCTAGAGATGTCTTACTTTTCTGCTTAGGGATATATACCTGGCAATGATGATTTAGCTTCCCCACTGGGGTACAAGAAAGAGGTAGTGGGAGGAATGCATCCTGTTATTTGCAGCCCATCAATTAATTTGTTTTCATCCATATTTATCCCTTCAAACCTCTGTGTTGACAAGTACAGCACTGTTCCAGTTCATTTCCTATCACTGCTCTTAACAGATTACCACAATCTTAGTGGCTTAAAACAACATAAATTTATTATATTACAGTTCTGTAGAAGTCCAATACTTCTCACTGGGCTAAAATCAAGGTGTCAGCGGGGCTGTGTTCCTATCTGGAGGCTCCAGGCAAGAATTCATTCCTTGCCTTTTCTGGTTTCTAGAAGCCACCTGTATTCCATGGCTCATGGTCCCCTTCGTCCATCTTCACGGTCAGAAATGGTGTGTTGAGTCCTTTCCATATCACACCACTCTGACCTCGTTTCCATCCTCACATCTTCTTTCACTCTCCCTGTCTGCCTCCCTTGTCCACTTGGAAAAATCCTTGTATTACTTTGGTCCACCTGGGCAATTCAGGATCATCTCCGTATTTTAAGGTTATCTGATTAGCAACCTTAATTTCATCTGCAACCTTAACTCCCCTTTGCCATATAACCTACCATATTTACAGTTCTGGGGATGAGGACATGGACATCTTTGGTGGGGGCATTATTCTACCTATACAGTTGGTTCTACTGAGCCTGCTGGATCCTATGTCAGCCCCAACCTCTTCTCTACGTATTTTTAGCTATGGCTTTATCCACACTGCTTTCATCAATCAGTCATCTGCTTTCTGTATTCCAGAAATTTTTCTTAAGATTTTATTTATTTGAGAGAGAGAGAAAGTGAGAGACAGAGCACAAGCGGAGGACAAGGGGTAGAGGGAGAGGGAAAAGCAGACTCCCTGCTGAGCAGGGAGCCTGATGTGGGTGGGGCTTGGTCCCAGGACTCTGGGATCATAACCAGAGCAGAAGGCAGACATTTAACCAACTGAGCCACCCAGGCGCCCCTGGAAATTTTTTTTTGAAATTTCTCATGCACTAGCAGAGCCCACTCTCAATGTTATTTTGATATTTTAGCCTTTTTATTCTTTTACTTTCCTTTTAGTATTCTCCCAAAAGGGAGAAAGAATCAACACTGTACTCAGTCTAGCATCTTGAAGAGGATGAATATTCTTTTTAAGATTTATTTATTTGAGAGAGATTGCAAGTGGGGGAAGGGGCAGAGAGAGAGGGAGACAAGCAGACTCCCCACTGAGTGGGGAGCCTGATGCAGGGCTCAATTCCAAGACCCTGAGTCATGACCCCAGCTGAAACCAAGAGTCAGATGCCCAACCGACTGAGCCACCCAGGTGCTCCTTGAAGAGGATGAATATTCTTCCTCCACCTTATAGGGCTTGCAGAAAATTTCATCTCAGTCAGACCTGGGACCACTTTACCAGCTTTTAGATTTAGGAGGTACCTGAGGTCATCTCATCTCTAGGCTTCATAGACACCATGCACAGGTTTATTGTTAAAGCTAATAAAGATCCTTCAAAGTCCAGAACATTTCTGCTTCCTTGCCATGGGAATGCTGCTATGAACATTTGTGTACAAGGTTTTGCATGGATGTTTTTTCTTTTTTTTAAAGATTTTACTTATTTTAGAGATAGAGAGATGGGAGGGACAAGCAGACTCTGTGCTGATTGCACAGCCTGATGAGGGGCTCAATTTCACAAACTGAGATCACGACCTGAAGAGTCTTCAAAATGAAGAGTCGGACGTTTAACTGACTGAGCCACCCAGGTGCCCCTGGATATGCTTTTTCATTTCTCTTGGGTTTGTGGACTGAATGTTCGTGTCCTCGAAAAAATTCATATGGAAGGGAGCGAGGATGTCCAGTCCATCCTCTCTAAAATCTTGCTCATCCCCTGGAACACTAGCAACAATCTTGGGAACTTCTGGCTTTTGCTCCCTTCCCAGAATCTCTCCTCTCCTTTCTTCTCTCTTTGCCCTTAAAGTCACTGCTCCTTTTATTCTGTGCCCCTCTTCCAGCATACCTAGCCTGATCCTCTCCACGGGCTCAGGTTTTAGGAAAATTAATTCAGAAAAGGAAGTATCTTGCAAGAAATTTATCTTAGTCTGATAATTTTAATACTTCCCTGAGACAAGAAAGCACAAAGTGGCCTGGGTACTTTTCTGGAACGGAGGATGGAAAAAAATAGAGGGAGAAGAACACAAATATCTCAGAAAAGTATTTTGCTTAGTAAAGTGGTTGGATATTATCAAATTCAATTACCAGAAAGCAAAGCAAATAATTTTAGTATGAAATTTGATGGAAGGTACTATTGACCTTTCATTGGCTTATTTCTCCATTTGATCCAATGAAACCAACTCATCTTTTCTTCATTTTGTGCTACACAGACATTAAAGTCTTGGAAAAAAATTGGAATTTTTGAATATAAGCTGTAAGTTACAGTCTAATTCTTTTTTTTTAAAGATTTTATTTATTTATTTGTCAGAGAGAGAGAGCAAGAGAGAGCACAAGCTGGGGGAGTGGCAGGCAGAGGGAGAAGCAGGCTCCCCGCTGAGCAAGGAGCCCGATGCGGGACTTGATCCCAGGACCCAGGGATCATGACCTGAGCCGAAGGCAGATGCTTAACTGACTGAGCCACCCAGGCGCCCAGTTATGGTCTAATTCTTAAACAAAAGTATTAAGTCCCATTATGTATTTCAGTGTTTTGCTAATTAACTTTAGTAATTTTATTGCTTATTATGGTAACATATTTATAATATTTCATTATAACTCTATTTGCCATTAATAGTTGGAAATGATATGGATCAATAAAACTTTTCTATTGTTACAAAATATTTTGCTAATAACTGTATCTGTAAATATATCAATATATCCTTATAGTATATAGTTTTTTTTTTTTCTTGGATTTATTTGAGAGAAAGAGATTGAGAGAACGAATGGGAGGAGGGGCAGAGGGAGAAGCAGACTCCCCACTGAGCAGGGAGCCTGACGCGGGACTCGATCCCAGGACCCTGGGATCCTGATCTGAGCTGAAGGCAGATGCTTAACCAACTGAGCCACCCAGACACCCAGTATATAGATAGTTTTGCTGCACTCAATCACAGACTGTGATTTAATCCATTTATATTGATGGACATTTGTCACTTTTTTCTATTATACGTACTGCTATAATAAATAAATATATTTTTATATACATTTTGTACACCTGAGGGGGTATATCTTAAGTATATATTCCCTACTCAAAATGTAAAACAAGATCACCATATGACTCAGCCATCTAGGATTTACCTGATACTGTTGGCTTGAGCTGCTATAACAAAATACCACAGACTGAGTGGCTTAAACAACAGAAATTTATTTTCTCACAGTACTGGAGGCTCAAGTCCAAGGTTAAGGTGTCAGCCAATTTGGTTCCTGGCTTGCAGATGGCTCTCTTCTTACTGTGTCCTCACATGATAGAGAGAAAAAATAGCTCTCTCTCGTCTCTTCTTATAAGGACACTAATCCTGTTGGATCAGGTCCCTACCCTTATGATCTCATTTAAACATAAGTGCTTTCATAAAGGACCTATCTCCAAATATAGAAATATTGGAGGTTGAGGCTTCAAAACGTGAGTTTTGGGGGAACATGACCACTCAGTCCATAACATTACCCAAAAGAAATGAAAAAATACACCCACACAAAAACTTATAGGCAAATGTTTGTAGTGACATTTTTTAAAAATATTTTATTTATTTATTTGAGAGAGAGAGAATGAGAGATAGAGAGCATGAGAGGGAAGAGGGTCAGAGGGAGAAGCAGACTCCCTGCTGAGCAGGGAGCCCGATGTGGGACTCGATCCCGGGACTCCAGGATCATGACCCGAGCCGAAGGCAGTCGCTTAACCAACTGAGCCACCTAGGTGCCCGTGACATTACTCATAATAGCCAAAAAGTAGGAACCACCCAAATGCCTGTCAACTCACAAATGGATAAACAAATATGGTCCACCCATGCAATGGACTATTCTTCAGACTTAAAAAGAAATGAAGTTGGGATCATGACCTGAGCAGAAGGCAGTCGCTTAACTGATTGAGCCACCCAGGCGCCCCCCTCTACTGATGACCTAGGTTCTTTTTTTTTTTAAGAGATTTTATTTATTTTTATATACATTTTGTACACCTGAGGGGGTATATCTTAAGTATATATTCCCTACTCAAAATGTAAAACAAGATCACCATATGACTCAGCCATCTAGGATTTACCTAGATGGTAAATACCTAGAGACACAGCGAGAGAGGGAACTCAAGCAGGGGGAGTGGGAGAGGGAGAAGCAGGCTTCCCGCAGAGCAGGGAGCCCGAAGCGGGGCTCGATGAGGGGCTCGATCCCAGGACCCTGGGATCATGACCTGAGCTGAAGGCAGACGCTTAATGACTGAGCCACCCAGGCGCCCCCGCAGACCTAGGTTCTTTTGTTATACTCTTATGTAGCTATGTAAAACAAGGCATAAGATTCTCTAGGGAAGGCCTTTGTTTTTCTTGTTTTGAAATTCAATCCATTTATTGAAATATATATTGTACATGACTTACAAATCTTCACTTCTGTCACTCTGCTAGAACTTTTCCGGAAAAGCCTCCATTTCCTCGATCCTCTTTCCACAAGTAATGGAAGTGACTGTGCTTTGAAGGTTACAGCTGACGAACACCTGTTCGTTGCTCTCCCTGGCTAAGTGCTGGGCAAGGCCAGTGGATGTCCTATCAGAAGTGTCTCTGAGGAGGGAGGCAGACACAGGGATGGAATCGTAGCGATTGCATAAGGCCACAGCGACACTCTGCCATCCTAATTCTTCCTAATCCCATCTGTTTCCCTTTGGCAAATTACCACTCCACAGTGTCCTGTCTTCCCATACAGAAACCAAAGGGTCCTGGGAGGTTGCTATGTCCTTCTCTTACTGCTACAACCGAAGGGTAATATGTGACCTAATCCTGGCCAGCTGGATTCTGCTTCTAGGGAGATTCTTCCCTTCCCTTCCCTTCTTCCCTTCCCTGCCCTCCTCTTCCTTTCCCTCCCCTCCGCTCCCTTTTCTCCTTGCCTTTCTCCCCTCCCCTCCCCTCTCCTCTCTTTTTTCTGTTTAAATAGGCTCCACACCCAGCATGGAGCCCAATGGGGGGCTTGAACTCATGGCTGTGATTTCCAAACCTAAGCTGAGATCAAGAGTTGGACGCTTAACTGACTGAGCCACCCAGGCACCCTTCCATGGAGATTCTTGAGTGGAAAAAACTGTTGGCGTCCCCTCATCAGACTCTGACCAAATGGCTAAATAGTACTTGCTGTTAACAGTTATTTTCTGGTTCTTGTTCTGTCTTGGTTATTTGTCCTGAACCCGAACCTGGTGATTCCTTCAGTAAATTCCCTTTGGTTCTTAAGGTAGGCTGATCTCCCAAGCTATAGGAAGAGAAAAACAAGAAAGCACAAAGTGGCTTCAGAGATTTACAGTAAGTTGCCACCATGTGAAAAAGAATGAAATAAAATTATTTACATAAATTATCCCTAGAGTGGAATATAACATTATTGGTTTAAATAACCTGCTTCATTTTCAGTTTCCTTTACTTAGTTTTATATGTCCAATTCTTTACGGTTGACTTAATATGTCAGCTTTTCTTTAGTTTTTAAATTTTGTTTTTGAAGTAATCTCTACACCCAACATGGGGCTCAAACTCATGACCCTGAGATCAAGAGTCACAAGCTCTACCAACTGAGCTGGCCAGGTGTTTCAATCTGTCAGCTTTAATAAGTCATTTCTTTCCTGTAAAAATATTGACATGAGTTAGAATATCATTTATTACAACTAAATCTCTTTTTACTTTTCAAGTGTTAATTCACATTTTAAAATTTCTGTTAAGTGACTTTACAAGTTTTGGTAAGATTTACAAATTACTTTGTAGCTTACCATTAAATATCTTCTATTATTCATTAAAACAATTCTCAGATCTTCAGATATAGTTTTCTTTCTCTATGTACAGTAACAAATATAATTCAAGGATAATCAATTGGTCATTCTCCTAAAGCATACAGTGCTTTATAAAGAATGCACATAGGGGCACCTGGGTGACTCAGTAAGTTGAGTGTCTGACTCTTGGTTTGGGCTCAGGTCATGATCTCAGGGTCGGGTCGTGGGATCAAGCCTCTTGGGCTCCGTGCTCAGCATGGAGTCTGTTTGGGATTCTCCCTCTCCCTCCCCCCACTCCCCAAAATAAATAAATGAAATCTTAAAAAAAAAAGAGGGACCCTTGGGTGGCTCAGTCGGTTAAGCGTTGGCTCAGGTCATGATCTCAGGGTCCTGGGATTGAGTCCTGCATCAGGCTCCCTGCTTAGCAGGGAGCCTGCTTCTCCCTCTGCCGTTGCCATTCCCCCTGGTCATGCTCACTCTTTCTGACAAATAAATAAAATCTTAAAAAGAAAAAAAGAATGCACAAAATATAACAGCTAGTGCTAAAGTGTTTTCCAGACATCTCTGTGAAAAGATGCCCATTAATTGTCATAAAACATCCTACACAATTAACTTGAACTCATCGGTTAATATTGAAACTTACATTACTAACATTATTGCTTATTGCACTACTATATATTTTACTTATATTTATAGCTTATATTTATATAGCTAGTATATAGTAAAAATAAGCCATACCATCGTTAAGGTCCAGTATATTCAACCACATAAAACGTGAGGTTGCATTACTATAAGATTAATGAAATAACCAGAGGAAGTCTGTAGTAGCCAACTGGAGGTGGGGACGGTTTGAGGAGCCGAACGCCAATTGCGTTATATCTGAATTCACATTATTGTGGGGTCCTTTATAATGAGTCTTTTTCTGTATTCTAACCACCAAATATCAGCCTTATACGTATGGCAACAAAACCTGTTCTAATGACAGGTAAAATGCAAAGTAAGGGTCAGATAAGAGACATCTCAAAGGACAAATCCGGGTGCCTGGTGGCTCAGTTGATTAAACACCTGCCTTCAGCTCAGGTCATGATCCCCGAGCCCTGGGATAGAGCCCCGCGTTGGGCTCCCTGGCTCAGTGGGAGACTCCCCCTCCCCCTGCTTGTGCTCTCTCACTCTCGCTCTATCTCAAAATCTTAAAAAAAAAAAAAAAAAGGGACGATCGCGATGCCTGGGTGGTTCAGTCAGTTAAGCATCTGCCTTTGGCTCAGGTCATGATCCCAGGGCCCTGGGATTGAGTCCCGCATCGGGCTCCTTGCTCAGCGGGGAGCCTGCTTCTCCCTCTCCCTGCAGCTCTCCCTGCTTGTGCTCTCTGACAATAAAATCTTAAAAAAAAGAAAAAAAAAAGGACAAAGCTATAGGACTTGGGATGACTGGATAGAGGAGATGAGGGTAAATAAATTACTCCTGGATCACTTGAAGCATAAAGACGGTGATAGAAAAGACAGAGGTTGAAGTGGTTTCATTCCATTGCTTCGACTGGTAGAGGGATCGAAGGGAAGTACAGGTTGCTTTTAATTATGTTATTTCAAGGTGATGATGGAATGCTCAAATGATTAGGCAGTAACAGGACCTGAATTTGAGGTCAGGCTTTGGATAAAATAGTAATCACAGACAAAACAGTAAGCAGTCTAAGAATCCTTTCAGAAGTGAACATTGAGTAAGAAGCATCTGAGAAAGTTAGAGGTAGAACCACATTAACACAAAAGTTAACACTTGAAGTTTATGTTATCTTTTCACACTTTTTTTAATGGAAACCTTGAGAGGTGGGAGATTAGTTTCAAGTAGATTTATTCATTATAAATATTTACTAAGTGCTTCTGGGAATACAAGGGTGAATAAGTCACAGTCCTTGCCCTTAATGAGTTTCCAATGCAATGGGAGACAAGTAAAAAAGTAATTAGGGGCCCCAATTCCAGCACTAAAAATACTATTTAATAATTGGCTATTTACTTACTAGTCTCCATTACAGGAAGGAATAGTGTCTTTATCACTCTTACATCTCCAAAGCCCAGCGTAGATCTAGCACACAGGTGTTCAGGAAATATTCTAAAACAAATTAAATGAAAATAGTCTCAGCAATGATGAGTACTATTTTATGGCAGAGCATAAGCTGTGTGGGGAGAGTGAAGTGTTAGGAAATATCGTTAGTTATGGTGGGTTGGAGATCAGATTTTGGAAAGCCTTATATGTGATGCCAAGGGATTTATAGGTGGCAGTACTGAGGATTCAAAGAGAATGTCAGAGGGGTGCCTGGGCGGCTCAGCTGATATCTGGCTCTTGGTTCTGGTTTAGGTCATGATTTCACAGGGAGTGGAATTAGCCCAGCATCGGGCTCTGTCAGAGCACAGCATGGAGTCGGCTTCAGATTCTTTCTCCCCCTCATTCCCCCTGCGCTCCTCCCTGCTCATGTGCTCTCTTCTCTCTAAATTTAAAAAATCCAAAAAGCCCAAACAAACCAAAGAGAATGTAAGACACGGGAATGACAATCAGATTTATGCTTTGGAAAGCCCACTTTGGTTGGAATGCATGTTATTATAATAGACAAGTGCTTTCCAACTTTTAAACACTTTTAAGTGTGCACATAGAATGGGAGGCTGGCTGTACAGAACAACGTGCTTTGACCTGTATTCAAGGTCCTGGCTCTGCTCAGCAAATGCTTGAAGAAAAAACAAATCATCTGGTACCCAATAGGTACTTCATCCATGTACATTTCCTTCCCCTTCTCCTTCCTCTGAATACACTGATTAAAAAAAAGAGCCAACGGATAAAACTTGAGGATATATGGCAGGGGACTGAATAGGCCCTCAAGAGGCAGAAAGGGAGAGAAGCAAGAGCAGGAGGGCTTCCTTGGCCTAATGGCATGAGGACAAACAACTTTTCTTGAGCTGAAAGGCAGACAATTTGAAGACAGACCTAAGAAGTAGGGAGGAGGAAAGTTTGCAGTTTCCACTAACTGGGAAAAGAGTGGAAAAGCAGCAGGGGACATTAGACTGACAAATGTGAAAATTGCATCAGGATTAGATAAAGGGCTTATTGAGGCCTTAACATGTTAACCTGCAATGGTTGTAACAGCAGTTCTGGAAGCGCTCCCCGGCAGCATTGAGCAACTTGGGAGAACAAAGATGGGGGTGATTGGAAGCATCCAGGATTGGGAACTGGCAGGATGAGAAGGGCCTGAGGAAAGGAGGAAAGTGATCTGAGAAAGCTCTTGAAAGGCCGCCTTTAGTGAATGACTGCAGGGCATAGGTCAGGAAAGGAAGGAAGTCAAGTTAGAAGTTAACAGAGTGGAATAGAATAGAGAA